GATTTCTTGACTAAAGAGGTTATGAGGTTGGCTGGAACTGAATCGGTTCTGACTAATGTTATGTAACTGAAGCAATAGCTCCCCTCTGTAACACCTTGGAGAGATGTCAGAGAGCTACAAGAGAGCTTCAGGTATATGAAATTTGCGCTACTAAAAGCTAGATGACTACTACATGGAAGCAGTGTTTACTGTCATTTGCAGTTTTATAGTCCAGCCTCCATTCTTCTGGATGACTTTTCTCTGAAGCTGTCCCAGGATGTTCTCTCAAGCAACCACTAGGTGAACACTTTATATAGAGTTAGTTCACAGTGGCCAATTAAATCAAAGACTGCTACTATTTGGGATTGTTTGCAACCCTATTATCTGAGATTTGTTGACATGGAGTAGTTGGAAGTATGTAGGAGGAATTTATCGAATCTTATTTTTCTCATGGTGAAGAGCTTGAGAGAGTCTTCCCATTTTAGTGTGGTCTTGTGCCTTCTTTAGTGACTCCAATTTTGCAATTCTCTTTCCCTTTCAGATTATCATGAAGAATCACCTCAGACCAGTAAGTACACTTTACAGATGTTTCTTGAGCCATGAATTGCAACTGTGGTACACAATCTATAATGTCCAGCCATGTCGCAAGCATAACAGTATGCCCTAGAGGCTTCTGCCATGAGCGATGGGTGGAAACCACAGGGATGTAGGAGGAGGTTGAATATTAGATTTTCCAGATAGTAAAAGGTGTTAACCAGTGCACCATGTCAATCCCCAAAATGATATGTTCAGTTAACATCTTAAAACAGAGAGTGGATACTGATTTCTGATATTCCAACTCTGATTATGGCCATTAGAAATTGTTCTGTAACACTGAACAAAAAACTGCCTTGCCGCACCTTGGGACTTTACAAGCCATGCCCTTTTGCAAAGTAACCCTTAATATTCTTGAAAAGGGCTACCACAGTCCTGTGCAGTCTTCTGTTCTCAAGGCTTAAACCATCAATCTTTCTTTTGCACAACTTGGGTCTCTGCCCCTGCTCGTGCTTCTTGCCCTTTTCTGAATCCACAGCAGATCGAGAATAACAGTTGCTTTCAAACTGTGAAAAACATATGCTTATACTTAAACTTCTGTTATGTACCACTGAGTTCATGACAGGAAGTGCAAAATACAAAATAGTGATTGATGGATTGATTATATGCCATCAACTCTGGTTCCCATATCTGAGATTCACTGTATCTTTTCTAGCTCTTCCTCCCACCACCAAACCTCCAGTGGCAACTGAATGCTTTACAGTCAACTTCACTGCAACCAATTTGATCTATAGGCCACAGATGGCTGATCCCACATCAAAGGTTTTCAGCTCAACACAACGATCCTTCGTTAATTTGGTAAGAAGATCAATGCATACTTAGTCCAATAGCTCTCAATGTAGGACTTTCATGATATACTCAGCAATAGTATTTTATTATTGCCAATAAATACGTAGTTTTTTTCATTAAACTAAGACAAGCTCTCTTATGTAAATTGCTGAGGAGGCAAATGCATACTTACCCCATTAGCTCTTCTACATAATATTTTCATAAAATAATCAACAATTGTATTTCACCATCAGCAATAATTAGTTTTCCTTTAAACCTAGCTGGAACAGATATTGAAGACCAGCAAGATTGGTCCATATTTGATCAACTGTAGTTTATCAACATTAAGGTAGGTAATATGGAATGGAGATTTTTTTTAATGATGCCTAAATGCCCTGCTATAGGAGTGAAAGGATTCTGATATGGAATTTTCACAACATCTAGTCATATTTTACAGCAGCGGTGCCCACCGCTTCTGTGGATAAAGCTTTTTTGATGGATTGGAGGGGGCAAGGTTTGGCATGCTGTCTGCATCCTATCGATGGGGCTTCCCTTGTTTGCACAGCCCAGTTTCTTGCATGACACGGCCAGGGATTGGAATCCCGTTTTAGAGAACCCTGAATTTGTTTCAGCTTCAGTCTGTAACATATTACATTGATGCACAAATCACTAAAACCATTTCTTTGCTTCAATATTCAGTTCCTATCACTTCACTAGAGGCTCCATGGTTAGTTTCCTCCACTACTTCCCACAATTGGGTTTGAAGTGAAAATTAAAATTGAATAACACCAGATTAAAAATACTGCCTGAAAACGTCCAAAAAAAAAAAAAAAAAAGGTGATAGAACTGTGTCCCTCTGATATAGGGAGCCATTCAAGAATGGAACCAGCTAGGAAATACCCAGTGGGGATTCTGAATAGTCGAAACAGGGGGGGAAATGTGAAGTGGCACACTCATGGAACAAACCAGTTTCAACAAAATGGTCAGGGTTGCAATAATACAGCAGACCTGTATTAAGTCTGAACTGAACTGAACCCTCACCTTTTACTTTGTGGCCTGCCAGGTAGATCCAAATGGGACTTTACCTTTGTGATGTTTCCTACAGCTTCTCTGAATATATCTCAAGTTCTCTGTTTTCATTCTCAGACCTGTGAATCAGGGTGAGAACACCGGCATAGACAGTGTCTGCTGCTACCGTAAAAATGCCACGGCTCCAACTTTTGATCGAGTGAACATATATCACAAATTCATAAATGAGACCAACGGTTTCACCAAGATGGAGAGGTACAACTTGGACCCAAACAGCCTTTTTGTTAATGGTAAGAAGAAGATGGTTTTCTTGAATGAAGTGGTTGCATATGAGGTTGGCTGGAAGTGAATCGGTTATGTTATGGAACTAAAGTGTCTGCGACAACTTGGAGAAATGCCAAATTCAGGCTACAAAAATCTAGATGATCAAAAAATGGCAGCTGTGTTTATTAATACCTCATGGTCATTTGGAATTTTGCAATCATTGGACTAGGTGGACACTTTATATAGAGTTGGTCACTGTGACTTACTTAAAGTAAAGTTTGCTGCTATCTGTGGATCTTGGGGATAATTTGAAGCCCTACTGTTTGAGATTTGTTGACATGGAATAATTGGAAGTAGAGGAATCTTATTTTTCTTGTGGTGGAGAGCTTGAGAGAGTCTTCCCATTTTAGTGTGGTCTTGGGCCTTCTTTTGTGACTCTCTTTCCATTTCTGAAACTTTCTTTTCATTTCAGATTATCATGAAGAATCACCTCAGACCAGTAAGTACACTTTACAGAAGTTTCTTGTACCGTGAACAACTGTGGTACACAATCTAAAATGTCCAACCTTGTCCCAAATATACCAATTACAGAGCAAGTAAAGCAATATGCCCTAGAGCAGGGGTGTAAAACCCTATTTTATTGAGGGCTGCGTCAGCATTATTGTTGCCCTCAAAGGGCCACTTGCATGTAAGACTAGGTGTCGTACTAGTTCAGGAGTGAATTAATATGTTTCATATTTCCTGAACAGAAATATATTTAGCATTTTGGAGAACAATCTTCAAAAATATTTACAAATGAAGATTCATGAATATTTTTAAAATTTGCATACAGTGCTTAGAATCAGCAATAGACAAAAATTGGTCAGTTCTTTTTGCGTCAGCCCTAGAGCACAAGTTGTATATCTTGTCTACAATAGATATTTTATGAGTTGTTTATCTTTTTGTGGCATAAATGTTAGGCTTATATACTGTATTTATGTTTTTTTCATTTACTTACTTTTTCTTTATAAGAATAATAGAATATTTTATAAAATTATATAATTCAGCTATGCAAATTGTTTTATTTTCACATTATGCTTTTCACAGTGTGAAAAAGCAAAAATACTATAAATTTGAGAAATACAGTGGACACTTTACCCCAAATGGTAGGTGGAACTAGGGCAAAAGATACTTGATTAAGTACATCTTTTTTCTTCCTAGCATTTTTCTACAAGTGCTGAGTGTTGATCCTTTGATTATGACATGAATTGACTAGCCAGCATGTCACCCAAGCCCAATATCCTTCCTCCTATTTTTTCCAAAACAATTTTTGAGCTGGATTGGGCTGAGACTGAATGACTGGCTCAAATCACCCAGCCAGCTCTCATGCCTAAGGTAGGACTAGAACTCACAGTCCCCCAGATTCTAGCCTTTGCCTTAAAATTTTTTACCCTGATTAAGTAAAATTATTCCCCATGTATTTATTAATACCTATTTGATATTGTAATGAATAATTTGAAAACAACTTTTGAAGATAAACTTTTGGTGTCTACATACGAAGATTTAGGTTTACTTCCTTTGTTTTTTCTTCATTAGTCATTTTATTTCATTCATCAAAACCTGGATATCCATGCATTTTCACAACTGCTTCCTAACTGCTGCTATTTGTGGCCTCAGACAGCTTTAAACAGAAGCTTTATATGTGAAATTTAAAAAGAAGATATTTTTCTTTTCCACTGTTTCATTCTCTGCTTCTATGGTGTTAAAGACTTAAGAACTTGATCACTTTATGGAAGCAATCCTGTGTATGATGTGGAAGACATTTTCTAAGCCATTCTCTTTTGTATATGCACACCAACAAGTGGAAAGACACACCAACAAGTACATGAACACCGTAGGTGGAAAGGCAGTTTACCTGAGCAGATTAAAAATCCCTGTGCTAATTCTGTCCCCATCTTCCCCATCATCACAAGGACCCATCTGCCAATCAAAGCAGCAGTGCCAAACAAACAGGCACTTTAGGCAGGAGACAGGGAGGAGGAGGAAACCAAAATATCTCCCTAGGAGCTCTGCTACCATAGACCCAAAGCTCAGAAGTCAAAATAAAGAGGCAAACTAAAAGATAGACAGCTCTGATGAAAAGAAGCAAGACGAAAGGACTGGCAACTGAGAAAATTGGAGTGAGAAAAGTCCAAGGTGGCTACTACTTCGCCCAGCGGGTTGTGACACTGGCTTCCCTTCTGGGTTCGCGGGCTTCCCAGACTGGAGAAGAACAGAGGGGCCGAAGGGCTTCCTCTGGAAGGCACAGTTGTTGTTGCTGCTGGTGCCGCCAAGGCAATTCAAGGCAGGTGACAGGGCAGGGGTGGCCTAGTTGCGGACGCCAAGCTGCACAAGTGCAGTATAGGTGGAACGGGGCCAACTGCGGCTTATTGGACACTCCAGGCTCACATCCAGCAGGCTGTCTCTGCCTGCCAATAGGCAGTTGAAGGACCAATGAGCTGCAGTTGCTGCTGGGCACCACAGGTCCCTATGCACTCGCCGCCTCCAACGCATGCGCCCAAGGGGAGCCCCCTTGAGGTGGGCTGGGACCAAGGTGGCAGCACTAACACCAGGATGGCCCCACAAGCCAGTTCTAAACCCATCACAGTTCTAAACCCATCACAGACAAGTTCTAAACCCATCACAGACAAGATCTGGCCTGAGGTTCTTGAGTTTCAAATGTCTACCCTAGAGCTTCTTCAACGAGAAATGGGTGGAAACCACAGGGATATAGGAGGAGGTTGAATATTGAGAATATTTTTCCAGACAGTAAAAGGTGTTTTACCAGTGCACCATGTCAATCCCCAAAATGGTATGTTCAGTTAACATCTTAAAACAGAGAGTGGATACTGATTTC